TTCTGTGCTGCTGTTGTCTGTGAAGACTGGTAACCCACTGGCTGTCTCATGCTTTCTATTCTGGGCTTCTTGTGCAGTTCAGTGTGAGGTTCGTGCTTTGCTCTGCCTTCCCCGTAACCCTGGAGACACACAAAGAGACCAGAAACAGAAGCAGACTTTGGTGCCCCTGTGATCTCTCTGTCACACTCCTGTGCTCTCTTTCTTTCTTTCCTGTCTGCCCTTCATCTTTTTTTCCAGCACTGGCACAGTGTCTCTCCTCTCTGAACATACAGTGGGTACGGAAAGTATTCAGACCCCCTTAAATTTTTCACTCTTTGTTATATTGTTATATTAAGTTCATTTTTTCCTCATTAATGTACACACAGCACCCCATATTGACAGAAAAACACAGAATGTTTGACATTTTTGCAGATTTATTAAGGACGTGATTAGGAAAGCCACACACCTGTCTATATAAGACCCTTCAGCTCACAGTGCATGTCAGAGCAAATGAGAATCATGAGGTCAAAGGAACTGCCTGAAGAGCTCAGAGACAGAATTGTGGCAAGGCACAGATCTGGCCAAGGTTACAAAAAAATTTCTGCTGCACTTAAGGTTCCTAAGAGCACAGTGGCCTCCATAATCCTTAAATGGAAGACGTTTGGGACGACCAGAACCCTTCCTAGGGCTGGCCGTCTGGCCAAACTGAGCTATCGGGGGAGAAGAGCCTTGGTGAGAGAGGTACAGAAGAACCCAAAGATGACTGTGGCTGAGCTCCAGAGATGCAGTCGGGAGATGGGAGAAAGTTGTAGAAAGTCAACCATCACTGTAGCCCTCCACCAGTCGGGGCTTTATGGCAGAGTGGCCTGACGGAAGCCTCTCCTCAGTGCAAGACACATGAAAGCCCGCATGGAGTTTGCTCAAAAACACCTGAAGGACTCCAAGATGGTGAGAAATAAGATTCTGTGGTCTGATGAGACCAAGATAGAACTTTTTGGCCTTAATTCTAAGCGGTATGTGTGGAGAAAACCAGGCACTGCTCATCATCTGTCCAATACAGTCCCAACAGTGAAGCATGGTGGTGGCAGCATCATGCTATGGGGGTGTTTTTCAGCTGCAGGGACCGGACGACTGGTTGCAATCGAGGGAAGGGTGAATGCGGCCAAGTACAGGGATATCTTGGACGAAAACCTTCTCCAGAGTGCTCAGGACCTCAGACTGGGCCGAAGGTTCACCTTCCAACAAGACAATGGCCCTAAGCACACAGCTAAAATAACGGAGTGGCTTCCCAACAACTCCGTGACTGTTCTTGAATGGCCCAGCCAGAGCCCTGGCTTAAACCCAATTTAGCATCTCTGGAGAGACCTGAAAATGTCAACCAATGTTTACCATCCAACCTGACAGAACTGGAGAGGATCTGCAAGGAGGAATGGCAGAGTATCCCCAAATGCAGGTGTGAAAAACTTGTTGCATCATTCCTAAAAAGACTCATGGCTGTATTAGCTCAACAGGGTGCTTCTACTAAATACTGAGCAAAGGGTCTGAATACTTATGACCATGTGATATTTCAGTTTTTCTTTTTTAATAAATCTGCAAAAATGTCAAACATTCTGTGTTTTTCTGTCAATATGGGGTGCTGTGTGTACATTAATGAGGAAAAAAATGAACTTAAATGATTTTAGCATATGGCTGCAATATAACAAAGAGTGAAAAATTTAAGGGGGTCTGAATACTTTCCGTACCCACTGTATCCATTCCCATAACATTGTGAGGACAGGAAGCAGAGGACAGAGCAGGGAAGTGACCCTCTCACCCTCCTTCCACTTCTAACACCGGAGCCGCTGACTTTGATCAGTATTAAACAGTTGGTTATGGCCTTCAGATCTGAACATGCTTCACTGTGTGTTGTGGATGTGGCTGTTGATAAAGGTTAAAGCTCTTCATGTAACATGGTACAGGTATTTAAAATGTCTCTTTAAACTGTTTCATCTGATTTGCTTATACAAGGTAATTTACCCTGCATATTTAGATTTAATGCAACAAAACACTGGATCTATGGATGACCAGAAAATAAAGTTTTTAGAAAAAAACCTTTTGAAAACTAAAAAACACTTCTGTGTTCAATCCTCAGCTTTGTGAATCCACTGAGAAGTATGAGGAATTTTATCGCCAGCGCTTGCGTGTGCAGCAGCACCTGGAGCAGAAGCAGCAGCAGAGGCAGATGTACCAGCAGATGTTGCTAGAGGGAGGCGTCCAGCAGGATCCCCCGGCCAGCGACATGCAGCACAGCCTCACAGAAAAGTTCCTCAACAGGTACAGACCTTGGAAAAGATGTTATAAATGCCCTGTGTCAGGCAGGGAGTGCACATATACTGTACACCTATCAAGTCATACTGCAGACTTCATCTCGGCGTTGTTCTTGTGCAGGTTGACTGAATTAAGCCTGCTAATTATTGTATGGCTTTCAATATCTTCATACAATAGAGGAGCAGCTGTCAGACAAGGAGTGGCTGACATGTTAAGGCCCCAATAATGATGGGTCCCATGTGGCTTTCCCCAGCATGACACACACCTCCCCCAACCCTGCTTGGAGACCACACTGTACCATCTGTGGTGATGAGCTACATCACAGAACACCCTGTGTGTTGGAACTATACTCAGTAGGATATGCAGAAATAGTACCTGAATGAAACACCTTCTGTGCCAGCTTCAGCATGCTGCCACAAGAGTAAGTTTAGCTTCAACAAAAACAACTTCGTCAGCAGGACAGAGGTCCTTTGATTTGTCTCCTGAGAGTCCCTCCCTGTCTGCCCTCCCCATGTCTATATCCTCTGCATTATTCATAAGGGTAGCGTATGTGCATAATGGTGTCATTGCTTCAGTTTTCTCTTGTCCTCTCCTCTTGTAGTTCTGACTAGACTTAACTAGTATGTCAGCTCAGCCGATTTTCTAAGAGCCTGTACCTAAAGGTGAAGTGACTTCTCTCCTTTTCTGGATAATTGAAAAATACAAGAAAAGAAAGGCAACTCCTAGGAGATGGGGAACATGAGTATTTATGGAGACAGAGCTCATTAATTTAAATGTATTTGTGTGTGTGCTACTCAGGTCCATCCAGAAGCTGGAGGAGCTCAATGTGGGGATGGAGAATTTAGGGGAGGAGGTGAAGTCTCTGGCCCAGCAGTGTAATGGCAATGGGAACACCCCCGCCTCTGAGGACAATAACAACCCTCCATCTGTGACACCGGAGCAGAGCCGGACCCGAGGGGGAGGGGTGCTTAGCAGCACCCCCCAACGTGTCATAGGGGGCCGCGCAGTGCCACCTCCAAATGAATCCCCTGTCGTCTCTCAGAGGTGTGGGGGGGGGAGGTGCATAGAGGAGTTCGGCTTGTGTATCAGAGGTTGATGAATTAGGTGATAAATCTTTTGTGTTTGTCAGCAGTGGGCAGAAACACAAAGGAGATCAGCAGTGTGACTCTCCAGGCTCCTTATCCCGAAGTAAAGAGGTAGGAAAACAAAGAAGCAAGTTAAAAAAGCCAACACAGAAAATGTCATTTTCTGGATGTGCACTCATTTGATCATTCATTGTCTCTGATCGGATTTTAAACTTGATCACATTCCCTTTTGTTTTTGTTGTAAGACGATACAGTAACCACGCTAATTTGACTGATCAGATTAAAACACTCTCACCCCAGTGGTAGTGATGCTACGCTACCATTGTGACAGTATGGCTGTCACCGTGAATTACATGAAATCTGTGTGTTAATGTGTTTTCATATGTGTTTTTTTTTTTTTTTTTTTTTTTTGGCAGAGTGACAAACCAAAAAACCTGTTTGTTCCAGTACATTCCCTGGAAGACACTCAGGCTATTCGTGCTGTTGCCTTTCACCCATCTGGAGCGCTGTACGCCGTGGGCTCCAACTCCAAAACTCTACGTGTGTGTGTTTATCCAGAAACACTGGACACGAGGTAGCCTACAATCTGCTCATCAATGTCCAAGTTAATTGTTCTTAGCATGAGTGGTCCCCTTTATAACAAAATTGTTTCTATGATCAGTAGTTTGATTTGTCCTGTTCCTCCAGAGCTGTGAGCTATTTGTGCAGCCTGAGGCTTCCCACATTTAAGGACTTATAGAAGATGAAAGATACTAACATTTCTTGCACATTTTTTTGTAATTTTTTTGTCATTTAACATTCCCAGTCCTTCTGGTGATGTTCTGTGTAACAGCAACTGACCATGACAGTGACTTAGTGATCTGAACACAAGTGGATGACCGAGACACATCACTGTTCGCGTCTGTCAATATACATGCATCTTCAAAGTGCACAGCTGACCACTTGTGTTCAGATTTTGCTAATGCTGTGAGGCTTCCATTTAAATATCAAACAGCCACAGGCACTATTATTACTGTATGTCTGTGTTTCAGACAAGCGCCAGTAGTCTCCTTAACCAAAGGAGACAAGTGTCAGATTTGTTTCATAATACACCGAGGAATTTGTATCGGACATTTCTCCATGTTTTTTTTTTTTTGTTTTTGAGCACTGGTGTGCTCTAGCCAAAGCAGCCACCATCTGCTGCATTGATGACGTATTTTTCTTGAAGTCCGTGCAGATTCTCAGTCATCCAGGTCATAGTAAGCTGAAAAAACAAAATCAGGTTAGGTTTTTGTTCTATCAGTTGTGAAGCAATTAAAACAAATTGGTCACTTTCAAAAGAGTACACAATCTGGAGGTGATTTTCTCCAGTATATGACAAACTGCCTTGTTTGAATATCTACCAGTTTACTTATTTTCTTTCCCACCATTTGTCCTTTGTCTCGTTCTCCTTTCTTTTCCTCAGTGGGTCAAGTCCAACAAAGCAGCCAGTCGTCCGCTTCAAGAGGAACAAACACCACAAAGGCTCCATCTACTGTGTGGCCTGGAGTCACTGTGGGCAGCTGCTGGCTACAGGCTCCAATGACAAATATGTCAAAGTATTACCTTTCAGTGCAGAGACGTGCAATGCCACAGGTGAGCGCACCCTCACATGAATGCATGGTGATAGTGCTGTTTGCTGGTATCAGCACAGTCTTGTTTTTATTTGTCTTTTTATGTTTTCTAGGCCCAGACCTGGAGTTCAGCATGCACGATGGCACCATCAGAGACCTGGCCTTCATGGAGGGTCCAGAAAGCGGAGGAGCCATCTTGATCAGCGCTGGTGCAGGAGACTGTAACATCTATACCACTGACTGTCAAAGGGGACAGGGTCTGCATGCTCTCAGTGGACACACAGGTGCATTCACGGTGTCACTGACACACCTAACCTCAAAACTGAAGTTTAGATGAGAATGTTTTGTCTGTGTTTTTCTGTGATGAGGAGATTTTTTGTATTGCTTTTCAGGTCACATCCTGTCTCTATACACATGGGGAGGCTGGATGATTGCCTCCGGCTCCCAAGATAAGACAGTGCGTTTCTGGGACTTCAGGGTGCCCAGCTGTGTCCGAGTAGTGGGAACTGCTTTCCATGGCTCCGGTATGTCACCGGCTCTGTCTGTCGGAAGTTTCATCTCCATGTTTGGGTAAATCACAAACTATGAGCAGTGTATGATATCAGAGGTAGTGCAGCTTTTATATCGGGTGCCGGGGCTCTTCATAGAAAAATAATGATCCACTCAGTTTATACAGAAATGGTTTTAGTGGTAATCCTGTACTGGTTTTACAACCACGCCTTTTTTTTTTTTTTACTCCACAGGGAGTCCTGTTGCCTCGGTTGCAGTCGATCCTAGCGGTCGTCTCCTAGCAACAGGACAGGAAGACAGCGCATGCATGCTGTACGACATCAGAGGAGGACGCATTGTCCAGGTGTACCGTCCCCACACCAGTGATGTTCGTTCCGTTAGATTTTCCCCCGGAGCACACTACCTGCTCACTGGTTCCTATGACACAAAGGTCATGGTCACTAACCTTCAAGGTACGTATGACGTCAAGTGAACATGCCTTTATCTGCTGTTAGTTTCTTGATAATCTGTTTTACTGTAACTATTAGAAGTGTTAGCTGGTGCGTGTGATGATTTTCTGAGCTGAACTTCCTGTGTGCAGGTGACCTGACCAAACAGCTGCCTCTGACAGTGGTGGGAGAGCACGGTGACAAGGTGATTCAGTGTCGATGGCACACACAAGACCTGTCCTTCCTCTCATCCTCTGCTGACCGCACCGTCACACTCTGGACACACAATCCATAGCACACACACTGACAACCAGTTGCTGTTATCTAAAAAGACACACCCTAAACCAACACTTCTCCTGCACACACCCAACACTTTGACACACTTACAGCCTGGTGAGCCCATCCCTCCTGTCTATACGAAACCAAACGGATACAAACCTGACACTTCCAAAGCACATGTTGCTTGTTCTCCCTGTTCTTTCACCATAACTGTTATCCTGTTAGGGGTAAAACAGCAGGATTCTTGATTCTTTTCATGCCAGCTGGTGTCCAACATCTTCACCCTGTTCACACACCAGTCAGTCACTGTACATCATTTTCACTGGGGAATGTTGATGTAGACAGGACGAGTGCTTTGTCCATGATGGTGCCTTCCTCGAGTTCTTAGTTCTCATTAGGTAGAAAAGGTAAGATTCTGTTAAATTTTCTGAGAAACATTCCTTCTTCATTGGCATATCATGTCCTTATAGTGGGTGTAATGCTTCTATTGTTTGGGGAAAACAAGTTGAATTTATGGTATAAAATGTGATTTCTTTTTTTTCCCTCAACGTTGGTAGTGAGCTTTTCCTGTGGGATATGCTGCTAACATTACTGTATCCACTGCATAACGGCAACTCAAAATGTGTAGCTCATGCATTTTATTTGAAACCAGTGTTTTTGCACTGAAGCTGTTACAGTGGCATGCTTATGCTTGTTGCAGTGGAAGACCGTTGATATGCATTAAAGGGAAAACACTTATTTGGTTGTTCACCGTCATATTTGATTGTAGGATTTTTCATTATTTGAAAGCTTTGGTTTGTCTCCTGCTATAATAACTGAACAACAGTAAGAGGCAGCACCACAACAAGGGTTTAACCATATGCACAATGAAATATGAAGGAAGCAAGGGTGTTTATTTATTTGGAGCCAGTATTTGGGGCATATGTATTCTGCTCATGTATTTTACTTGCACACTTTGTCTCTTAACGTTGTCTTCTAATATTGATTTACTTACAAAGATGCATATTTAATTTCTGTTAATGTATAGTATATATTGTTTTAACAAATAAGGCCAAACTAATACATACATAGATGTATTTATTTCAGTTGTGTTTATGTATGTACAGTTAACATTTTGGAAATACTAGTGGCTCTTGCATTAAGTCTTTCTAATTGTTGTTTTTAAAAATGTTAGTGACTTGGCTTGAATTAATTTAACTGATGTGTGATTGCTGGTACATTCAATAAAGCGTGTTTTACAAAAACTGCTTCTGTTAACATTAACAGTTGACCTGAATGAGGCTTTATTCTTGTGACCTCACCTAGAACATTTCGTACAAAAGAGCATTCTCATTCTGTTATTAATCAGCTTGCTTAAAATAGCTTTTGATAATTTCCTTTGCCTGAACACAACCAAACAAAGATGTCACATATAAACAAAATACATGTAAATAGTGCTGTCCCTCTGACCTCTGCGTGTAAAACCACATTACTTCATAGTGGTAGGATGGCAGTTACCAGAATCACAACTATCATAAAAAGTACAATAAATACATTACTGTAGATGTGTATTGAAAATACACAAAAAGTACAATGAAATATGTAGGGGCACAAAAATCTGAAAAAGGATTTTAAAAAAAAAGCTACACTTTTGTCCCTGATACCACTGAGAGTCTGTTGCTGTTGTGCATGTTGTGTGAAACAAGTCCTCGTATCTTTCCATACTGTTTACTACACACAGTGCTTTGTTTGTCTGAAAGGACAAATATTCAGAGACTATGGGCTTTTCAACCTGTCCCTTTAGTGCTTGGTTCAGTTGGAGCTGGGCTTAAGCTGTAGTATTTGCTGCAGAAGGCAGCGTGACACGCTGCTCGTCCATTCGTTTGGCCTGAGAGCGCATGATGAGGCTGAAGAAGTCCTCATCTGGTACAGTGGGCCCACGGACCGGAGGAGGGGGAGGGGCACAGCGCTGATCATCCAAACGGGACCCCTGGAAAAAAGACATTAAAGAGGAGATGAGTTGGAGATCTACTCGTGGATCTTTAATGTTCTTGTTTAGAGAAGCATGTCATATTTTCTTCTATTACCATTTTCAGACCTTTTCTGCAAACACTGAATATTTGGTCCTGCTGCTCTTGGAGACACCGAGGGCTAGGCGGAGACTTAGGGGGCACAGAGCATTCTCTGTGGGGGCTCCTAAGTTGTGGAATGCATTGCCCCTTTACATTAGGCAGGCCCCCTCGTTGTCCACTTTTAAAACTTATTTGAAGACTCATCTGTACCGTTTGGCGTTCAAACCAGTAGGAGCCTCTGTCTTGTTGAGCTTTTTTGTTTTATGATGGGTGGTTGTTTTAGTGTGAGCCTGTTTTATTGTTGTGTTTATTGTTATTCTGCTTGTTTTATTGTGTTTTAACGGGTTTTAGTGATATTGTGTTAAGCACTTTGGTCAGCTTCGGCTGTGTTAAACGTGCTATATAAATAAAGTTGATGATGATGATGGTCCAATCAGGTACCTGGCACTTGACGAGCATATCGAAGAAGTCTTCGTCGGGCTCAGCGCTGTCAGCATTGGCCATCAGGTGGCTAAGCACGGCCTGGTTACTGTTTTGACCAAGCCTGAGGCCAGGAAGACTTCCTGCTGCTGCTGACGACTCTAACCGCCTGCCTTTTGTGCCTGAGATGTTGGCAGAATCTGACACAGCTGCAAAGGAGGAGAGAATCAAGGAAAGTGCATAAAGGAAGTTTTACTGTGGGGATTAGAAGACTTTTGAGTGTGAATCTATAAACTCACATTTCCTGACAGCTCTACGTGGAGACTCTGCGCCAGTGTTTAAAGATAGCCTGCTGTCCTTATCCTGTACTGAACAGCGTTGGTCATCCATACGGTTGCTCTGGAAGCGGCTGAGCAGGTCAAAGAAGCCCTCGTCTCCAAGCATATCAGGACTGTGTCTCTGAGAAAGAAAAAACTAATGAGAAAAATGGCAAAACAGAACAGACCTTGAGGAAACTGAATGAAGCAAGTGTGCAGTTATCAGCTGTTTGCACGCTAAGCTGTGTACCTTCTGTGGTCCCTGTGAGGGGGTCTGGCTGGTGTCCAGGGTGTTGCTGGTGTCCTGGAGGACCTTACTGGAGCCACCAGTCTTGTACTTCTTCCCACGGAGACGGTTGACAAAAAACAGCTTGGAAGAGCTCTTAGCCAGGGAGGGTTTGGACTGTTTGGTCAGCAAGTCACTGCTCCACTTCTGACCCTTCAATACACATGAATGCACTTGTTACCACAATGAAGAAAGGAGCTAATCAGAAGAAACACAAAGCTAAGGGAAGACGCTTTGAAAAACCATCAGGCTTAGCAGCAAAGTGTGACTTAGAAGAAGCAGTGACAGAACATGATGTGTTAGTAGACTGTAAACTTCATGTGTGAGAGCAGCTCTTACATTCATCTTGTCTGGAGTGAGCTGCATCAGCTCCAGGTTCTCCATGCTGTGTCTTCTGCTCATCCTGGGCCTCGCTCCTAAAACACATGAACACTGTGAGCACCTGTTATACAAATGACACTGGTAAAATGAAGGTCATAGGGTGTTTGATATGCAAGGGTTTGTTTTACCATGCAGGTTATAGTCTATATCCTTATTTTCTGAGAGGGTAGAGTTATTTGTGCTGTAGCTCAGACCCAGAACCATTTGGAGATCAGACACGTTCATACGAGCCGTCAGCTCACCACTCCTGTCTCCAGTCTGAGGAAATAAAAGTGCACAGGGGATGTTTAGCTTTGCCACCATATGACATCTTGACCTGTTTTTGTTTTTAAAACATTTCATTCATGTACTTCTTTGCAGATCTCCAGGTGTTTCTCGGCAAAGTGCATGGCCTGGTCATGGTTCCCCAACGCAGTGTGGGCATTTCCCAGACTCCAGCATGCACGGCCCTCCCCAATCCTACAACAAAATACATTTAAATCAATGCACAGGGACATATCAAAGTATAAACTGGAAAGGAAAAAGTCTTGGCAACACTTACAGTATTCCAAGCAAGTTTAACACACAGATTGAAGTCCAACACGTGTCTGATGACCCTGAGGAGGGCTTTATGCTGAAATGGGTTGGTCTTCTATCTTTGCATTAATGTTGCCCAGAACACTGCAGGTGTTGACAGACTTTTTGCTTTCCAGTTTGTTTTTCCTGTGTTTGTGCACGTGACAGTGGGTGAGGCTGTGCCAGTAATGTCTGCTGCATATTAAAGTATAGGAATTTTCAGGGGGAAATCTTCCTCCTATAGTGGATGTATGTGTGTACCTGTCATTGAGGTCCTGGGCTATGATGAGGTGCTTGAGGTGGTTGTCTATGGCTCTCTCATAGTCCTGGAGAAGTGTGTAGGTGTTGCCCAGACTGTAGCAGGCCTGGGCCTCCACAGCTCGATCCTTCAACTGCCTCGCCAGCTGCAGTGTCTTCCTGACAAACACACAGACAAACTGGCTCAACGCACTGTAGAGAGCACACAGTAATTGCCTCTGGCTTTCTACAAAACAAATAAATGTTCTCAAAAGCAGTACAGTCTGGGATCAACATATAATATCATACACAAGGGATGGTTCCCTTTGTTAGACACTGAGGTTATTTTTGCAGTTGCCAGAGGGCTGTTCATGGAAGAAAAAAAGAAATCTAAGCTTAATCTATACTTAGTGACACCACACTTAAAAGTGGTCTTTCAACAGACGGAATATACCACACCCATCATATTTACTGTATGTTGGTGGTAGCATGCAGAAAGAGAGGAAAATGATGATTGCTCAGTTAGGCCCCCTCCAGGAAAAACTGCTGTAGACATGAATTTAAAAATAAATTGCACAACCTTAATCTCTTTAGATAAGTTAAACTAGTGACAACCTTTTGCACCTATTAGGTTCCCTTTGTTAAAGGAAAAACTGACTTTACCCAGTATACTGTGTGACAGTTACTGCTGCTGACATAAGATTCTACACTGTAACTTATAGAGAAAAACATTTGTGTGTGTGGACTGTAGATTACTTGTAATGCTCAGCTGCCACTTCAAATTCCCCCAAAAAGATATAGGCATTCCCCAGGTTGCAGTAAGCCCGTCTCTCTGCTGAGCGGTCACCAAACTCCTTAGCGATGAGCAAGCGCTGAAAAACACATTTTATTATTTCTTTTATTAAAGCACTGTAATTAGAAACATATATTCTGACTGATGCATGTTTATAATGGAGCTTTGATTAAAATAAATAGTTTTTAAGATTCCCTCCCACCTGTTCATGAGAAGCCACCGCTTTGCGAAAGTTTCCCAACAAGTAGTATGTGTTACCAAGGTTGCCATACGTTCGACCCTGTGCTGCCCGATCTCCATGTTCCTTCACTATAACTAAGTTTGCCCTGAAAATTCAACATTAAAATCAAATCAGAAAGCAGCTACTACAGATATCTGAAATGCCAGTTAGAATAGCAGCAAGGCCCTCTATTGTATAATCAACGATTACCATGATGAAAACATACAGTGACTCACTCATAGTATTCAGCTGCCTTCCTCAGTGCCATCATGACCTCTTCTGGGAAATCTCCAGGCTCAGCTCCACTCCAGCAGATACTTTTACCTTTTGCATGGTACACGTTCCCAAAGTTATACAGAGCACGTGCCTGACCCACCTAACATAGATCCAGGAAGAACAGGTCAATGGTGAAAGTGTGAATCCCCACCAAGCACCACAGAAAATTTCACTGTATACATTACCACTTATAAGCCTGAGTAAACTGCTTCCTCACCTTGTCATTAGTGTCCCTCGCAATGTCCAAGTGCCTCTGACAGCAAACCACAGCCTCATCAAACCGCCCGAGCACCTTCAATGTGTTGCCAAGGTTTCCACTGGCTTTGGCCTCTCCAAGCAGGTCACCAATTGTCCTGTACAAGTCAGTGTGTTAACAATAATGACAGAATTATCTATTAGCAGAATTAAGACAGCTGTAGTTGGTCTAACCTAGTCAAAGTGAGGTCATGACGGTGAAACTCCAGGGCTTTGGCATAGTCATGCAGATGAAAGTAGGCATTTCCCAGCTGGCTGTAGATGGCACTGAGCACCTGCAGATCCTCTGTGCCCACCTGGATGGCAGCTTCAAAGAAGGACACACCTGCTCTGTAGTCACCTACCTTACAGAGCCGCTCACCCTCCAGCGCCAGCTCCAAGCAAGACACCTCCATCCTACAGCACACAGATGCAGAGTCAGGTGTCTAATAAGGATATGAGCTGCTGTCTGAACTAGCTGAGCCTCAAAAAAAAAAATTAATGAGCAGCTCCCAAGTGTGTAGAATCCAAAGCCAAAGAGGCTGTGGAAAAAAATAGATCTTCTCTGGCTACAGTGAACTCTTTCTAAGCAAAGGCTTTCAACACAAAATGTTATTTAGCTACTTCCTTCCACCCTCAGAGAACAATGGCTCAAACTAGGGTTTATTATGATCTCACATCCCTTTGACATGCCTCAAAAAGTAAAGTGCATCCTGTGTGCAGTCAAACGAAACAAACAGCAGGCTGAAAAATCACAATGTTTATTAGCAGTGTTTAGAATTACAAAAGGTTTAAATATCTTGTCTTAAGTCTTCAAAGAGCCATATTATTGACTTTATCCCAATAACTACAAGATGTATAACAAACATTTCAAAGTGGTTCCTCTAAATCAATTGAATAACATAGCTGTGTGGAGTTAGATACTTATCTGCAGATGGATTATTATAAGTGACATATCTGAGAAAAATAAAAACTATTAGGCTGCCAATTTTTGTTTTTCAGGAAACTGCACTGCTGCAAAGAGATCAGCTTCACACAACTCGATTATTTTTGTTTATCGCCAGCTTTCCTTCTGTACCCAACCAAGGTTTACTCAGAAACACTGATATAACACAATCTAGCCTGGATTCCTCACATGAAGTCACAGCTTACATAGTCTGTGGTGTGCACTTAAAGTGACACAAAAACACCAGACAAAGTAGCTGGTTTCATCATAAGGCTAGGCTATAATTTGTGAACAAAGACAAACACGGTGTCCTGAATAGTAAAAAAAAAAAAGCTCATGAAATCGGTGGTGTCAGGCCTTAAATTGGAAGTGCCTACATTGTTTACTACCAAGTCAGCATATCATTTAACACTACAGCTGTGGCAAACTCTAGCCTACCTGCTGGCTGTTCACATCTTACAACAAAAACAAAAGCACATGGAGCATCTGAGAGGCATCTACTGAGGAAAAACTTCCAGAATGCAGCTCCTTTTTTTCCCCTCTGAACCATGGAGAGATTAACACGTCATATCTTAGCAGACAAAGTAGTTGATGAAGATCTTGATTGTTATTCATTTAAGTCTAATTTTTAGCATCACACATTGGAAAATTTTCAAGGTGACATGTGTGAAGTTGCCATGGTATCAATGCATGATGGAAAGGCAAATGCTCAATCAGCATTTTCTCAGCTAATCTGCTTGTGTTTCAAGCCCTCACTTCCAGCCTGGTCACCTGAGATTACAGCTATAGAGTGTGCAACCAACCGATTAAAACCCTGATGAGTGCTAAGTAGCTTTACTAGATATGTCAGACACAAGCAGACTCTGTAGTGTAGTATAATGAAATCAATTAATTGAAGTAACCATCCTAACAGAAGTACTCATTGCAGAATACAGACGCTTACTTTATCCAAACAAATTGGACACATGTGTGCCAAAAAACGAAGTCACCAGTGATGAATTTTTCAGGGCTTGTTAAATATTGAAACTAGCCAGAGAAGGTCTTTGTTAGTCAAGTGGGACCTGCTGCCAGAGCTCTTTCTTTACCTGGGTATGTAGAGACAGCTGGCTGATGCTCATTTTTTAGGATTCTCACCTGCCTTTTATCAACAAACTCACACAAAGCACTGCAAAATGAGTCTCCCACTATCTACTTAACTTAAGCCCCAACTCTTACGTCCATATTACACATGATACCATACATTACTCAACACCAAATAAGTAAATACTTCATCAGTGATTAACAAGCATTAAGATAATTGTAGCTTTTCTTCTCTTAATCCCCAAAAGTTTCCATGGTCTCATTAAACATAATGAGCGGGAAAAAGATGAATAGCTAAAACACAGTGCCACACTTTCTACCTACCTGTAGCGGACATGAAAGGACTGCTCCTCAGCTCGCATGCTAACCACTGAGCCACTGGTATCCATTGAAGTGCATAATATGAGGGAAAATCCCAGTTTTGTTCCCAAAAAAATGGTTGTGTTTTATGACAATAGCCAACAAGAAGGAAAAAATAAAGTCTTTGGTTAAAGAGGAGGCGATCCAAATGACAAAAATCACCCGATGTTGGAAAGTATCTCCTGAGTGCTGACAGGGGAAGGTTAACCTGTGAGCGTCACGCCGCACGGCTGCTTTTGTACACTGTGTGTTTTGCGTCACTGCCCCTCAATCGGTGGCACTCTGTGAAGAGAACACAAGATGCTCAATGTGAAGCCTCATTCTGGCCACACGGTGCCATGGCAACACCAACCAAACTGCAGCGTACACAAGCGGGGCAGGCAGGGAGTGAGTGAGCAGGGCGGGAATGAATGGAGGGGGTCATCAGACAAACTGTCAGTCTAAGAAGGTGACTCACTTGATCTGGACTTAGACATGTGCGTATTCACCAGAAAGTTGATAAAAGATGAGAAAGCAATGGACACCTCACGATGTAACAGATATGCAAGCAGAGAGTTGCATGATTTGTCAAGAAAAATGTCACTGAATTAGAAGACAAGCGCAGAAACATAAGCTACTAAAACCTTCTGTGTGCATGTGACTTCCACCAAAAGAAAGGACAGTGATAAGCAAGCTAAAAGGATTAGACTGCACCAAGTAAAGAACAGAGCTAACCATTACCTAATTTCTCCATGAGGTCATAGTAGCCACACTCAATGTACCCCAAGTTTAACCCATCAGCCCCTCCTCCTGTGCATACACATAAGGTGGGAAATGGGGCAGACTACATATTTGCAAACTTGGTTAATTCTTTATGCAAAAAAAAACAAAAACAAACAAACAAACAAACAAAAAAAAACATCTCAAAGTCTGAATTTTTTGATTAGGCATTGTTATTGACCAAAATGGTCAAACCTATATATAGGTCCCTCATTACTGACCTACCCCTAATGCCTTACTGTATTATCTTAACATATTCCTATTATTAATAACTATGTGAATACAGGACAGAGTCTTCGGTTGTAACTGTGCATCTGACTGTCGACATCAAAGACAAGTAGGTCAGGAAAAATGAAAAACAGAGAACCTCAGAGTATCAAATTTGATGAAATCTAAAATCCTTCTTATGACAATAGCAATAACTATTACTTGCCTATTTTAAAATTACTTGAAAATAAAACAATTATCAGATACCTACTAAATTTATAAATTCAGGTCCAGTTCTGCCTACATAACAAGGAGCCCAATATTCACAGAGTAGCTTGGATTAAACCTTTACTCTGGTCTAGGCTTGCTGAGCTGGTACTTTTTATTTTTGACAAGTATTAGCTCAGCACTGAGCTCATACAAATGTTAAAAACAAATGACAACTAAAACAACAACAATAAATAATAAAAAAAAAAAGACAACATGCAACATCTTAAATATACCTTGTTGTGGCCAGAATTTAATTTTCAATTGGCATTAACGTGTATACATTTCTCAAAAACACAGAGGCTTGTGTGTTTTGTTTTGTTTTTTTGCAAATACATGAGTTTGTAAACCTAACTTTACTGCTGACACAGCACTTTTCTTGAGGAAAGACCTGTATTATACTATAATCTATAAATTAACAAATCAAAAACAGGCTATGTCCATTTATAATATACAGTGTTTAAGCATCTTGCAGAGGGAGAGAGAGAGAGAGCGAGAGCGAGACAGTATGAGAATCAAATCATGGTTTTGCCCAGACTGGTAGTCTTGCTACTATGAGAATCCTTACTTATAAAAGGTTACCATACTAACTAAAGCCCAGGACTTTTGGGGACTGTGCAGTACATGTTCCTACACATTATTATAATCACCAATTGATGCGTGCCAGTAGTATGTGCTGCCTTTTCCACCATTGTATGCCAACTGGGTGTGTTTCTGAGAGACCTGCTCACAAAGCTACACTGTGCCCGAACATGTGTAACAAGGTGACGGAATGTGTGTCTAAAAGCACGTCAAAAGCAGAAAAATAGGTTGTTTTTCAATGACAGCTTCAAGGGAAGTAATCACTGACTCTTTCTTGAGTCAAACACAACATGATTTCATCTTTAACAGATGTGATCTATTTTCTTTGTGCCCACTGATGCACTAAAATGACTACTGCCTCTGACTGCAACATCTAAATATGGAAACACCACTCAGCAGTACACCATGAGCCAGCAAAATCCTGCACCAAAACAAAGGAAAGAAATGGCTAAATAAGTACTGGGATACTGACCGATAATTCTTCCACACAGGAACAGGAAATCTAGGAAGCCTGCAAGGAAAAGTGTTGTGACCATCAGTAAAACAAACTAATGCTGCAGCACTTGGTGTTTTGATTATGAACATACGATACATTTTGCCTTAAATGATTATGAACACTGTGATACAGATTTGATATGACATTAAAGTTAAACTTAAACTATAATGTTTGGTGATTTAGTGCTCCAAGTGATATTTACACTCAGCTACCAGTTCATTAGTGTAACTAAATACTAGAAATATCTCGCAGCACGCCCATCATTTTTAAGTAATACTTCTAAAACGGTTTCAACAAAAACTAAAACTGAAGTATTTCTGCAGAGCTACTGTAACAGTTTTTGCTAGGTGTACCTAATAAAGTGACAACTGAGTAAATGCCATAAACTAGAGGTTTATTTTAGTATTGGATAAACTACATACCGTGAGTATAATATGTAATGTGGAATGACATCTTCATGAAACTGGCCATTGCGCAAGACAACTATTCATTTAATTATCTTTATTAAGTATAGTCATACAGTAAAATGCTAAAACATACTGTATATGACTGCTTTATGAATTTGATGTTGGCATAAACAAATGATACAACCACAAATTATGATGGAACTACGTTAATCAATAATGTTAGCTGTTAACGTTATGACATCTTATCTGGACACAACTCTGTTCTAACTGCACTCAAACAGAGTTGTTGTTACTCAGGGAAGATGTTTGACTAAGGAGCGGAATGTAAACACCAAACTTTCGAAATGGGTACTACTGTCACAGTTGCACTCAATATGTCAAAATTAACGCTAGTTAGAAGACACAACCATGAACGGTACATTCATCTCTCTATTACTCAACCAGCTAAACACTATCTAGCTTAGTTAGCATGTTAGCTGCTAAACTTACGTTAGACGATCCAGTTCGAACAATTGGGACTTCCCTTCTTTACTTAAAATGAAAACATGGTGCCGTTTCAAAAAAAGAACGGCTACAAATTAAAGACAAAATGTACTATATCCAGCCTAACACAACATTATTTCTTAACTTTGATAAAACTTCGGTTTAACTTCGATGAGAAAGAAGAAAACCCTTAACAGCCTGTAACAGCGTATGTCCTTTCAGCATCCAGCCAATCAGAGGACGGGATTCAAAGATAGCCACGCCCACAATAACAGTCATTGGACCAATAAATTTGAATAGAAAAGAGATGACGTATTGTAGTAAAACAGCTGTCAGCATCTGGCTAGTACAAGTATTATTGTGCTTGAATTGTTTTACACTATTCGCTGTCGTTTAAGGAAGCTTAAAAGATACGACTATTATCTCATTGAATACATAAAACGCTGTCCTAAAGCCAACTTGTAAACAGTATGTAACTTCTGCAGTAGTCTTCTAGGGGAAGTTTCACTACCGCCGTTACCTAGCAACCACACTCGGCTAGTCTCTCCAGACGTCCAGTGCTGCTATGTACATAATTCATGATGCCACCGAAACCAAACCTGTCTGAAGAAACCATATGTCAAGAAAGACAGAGAGAGAAACACTGTACTTAGTTGCAGTATGATACCAGGAGCAAAAGCATAACTGTGGATTGGATCAACTTAAAACAAATATGGTGAAGGCGTCATAACCAAAGTAAGTTACCACCACCACCACTAAAATATCGCTTTTTATCGTGGCGCATAAGCTGCATTCATGTGCTACTTTGTGGACTATTTATTGTGAGTGGGTTTAAGTGTCAGATAGTGATTCTCAAGGACCGGCTAGAGCGTATGGAAAGTCGGTATGGGAGGGTGTTGATGACATGCTACTGAACTGAATGAGCTAAGGTCAGTGTGCACGTTGCACTCACTCCAAGCTGTGCAGGGCTCACGTTATTACGAGAAAATACAGTATGTTGTTATCATGACAAAATAGTCCACCGTACTTCGTTACAACGAGGAAATAACGTATGTCGCCTTATGCTGTAGATAGAGTGCTTTCAGTGCCTTCTAATCCAGGAGTCTGACAACACTTAAAATGCCAGACTTTTACTTGTAATGGAATATTTTGATTTTATGGAATTGCTCTTATTTAACTGAAGGGTCTGAATACAACTTTTTCTTTCAGCCATAAATGTCATTCACACATACCACCTTACATGTATGTCAGGCAAACCACACAGTGTATTGCTTGTTGAATAAATAATGGCTTAGCACATTTTGATCCAGTGTTGTCAGCTCATAAGTAGTGTTGCTAAGAGATGAACAGGTGCTCCATTGTCCTTCCTTATCCCCTGTTTTATCACAGTTGAAGAGAGGTTGAATAGGACATCCAGAGAAACTGTCCATGGAGGGAAACCCAGAGGAGTCCGACAAGGATGTTCAGGGAGAGGACAAGTCCTTGGTGCTGTGGGAGAAGTGCATCGAGCAGAGCATCTTTGTTGACCTAAGTGAGGATGAAAGTCTCCACTTCAGTGATCTGGAGAATAACTTACCTTTACATCTGTCCCAGGCAGAGTCTGCTGCCTCAGAGCCAAGCATCCATCTCAGTGGTACGTCTGGGGGCAACCATTGGTGTGCATGTCCATTCAGTGTTATAAACTATAGTGACTGCCTGTTCTGAACCATACAGAACACTGTTATGTTATAACACATGTAGCAAAGTTTGCATTTAGCAACAAGCTACAATGTTGCTCAGATACTCTTAAAGACCATTAGTGGTGACTGTATTGGACATTTGTTAAGTTTAAATACACAAAGGACAGAAGAGGTCATGGAAAGGGTGACACCTAAATTAATCCATGTGATGACCTAATTAGGCATTTGTGTTGTTGGTGTTATTTAATTTGCAGGGAGTGCAGCGCTGTCAGCCTTGGATGACAGCTCCTCAGAGTCCAGTATTGTCAGCAGTCAGAGTGAGAGATTGGCAGAAAGCAAGACTAAGAGCAGCATATTGCATGTGTCTGCCCAAAGACCAAACACAATGCAAGATGAGCCACCCTTAAACAGAGGGTTTGAGGACCCAGGGCAAAATACAAGTGACGAGGATCAGGATGATCTACCTTATGATGGTGAGCTTGGAAGTCCCTACTTCAACCAGACAGCTGGGTCTGATGGTAACATGAGCTCTGATGGAAGAGAAACAGTTCATACAAGTCCTGATGCTCCTGGTCTGCTTGAATTGACTCCTACAGAAAGCGATGATACCACTGATTGTTTGATTCTTCTTGAGCATAATACTGAGAAATCAGCTACACTGTCAAAAGAGGATGCCAGCACCAGACAGGGTAACATTTGTGATGCTTACAAGACAAGCGTGGTGGCTCCATCATGCCCTAGTCCTGCAGACATTAACCAGCTGTTGCTGCAGCACTTCTCTCAGGAGGAGTTGCTGCAGTCAAGTAGGCTGATTGAGGCAGAGACCCTGCCAGAAGTGTCCCTGCTGGAGAGTGTGGATGACACTGCTTTTAGCTCAGCTTCAATACATAACAGCCTAGTAATTCATAGTAACTCCTCACGGAGCCCTGCTTGTAAGATTAATCAGAGTTTCTGCTCTGGCATGACTGAAGTAAAGAGTAATACTGCATCAAAAAATTCAAGGTCAGAGGAGGAACCAGAAAGAAAAATTGATAATGTCATCTCTGCTGCTACTGACAGCATTGCACCCAACTCTGCAAGTAGAGACTCAAACCGGAGCAGTGGGGATAACAGTGCCGTAGATGTTGTGAAAGACCAAAAGGGTTCAAAAGTCCCACTTGTGCGCACCAGGTCCTTAGGTGAGATGAAATATGGACAAGGCCAAGTCCATTACCCCCTTCCTGATTTTTCCAAGGTTGCACCCAAGGTAAAAATTCCCAAAGCTCCCAGTGGACCCGCCAGACCTGTTCCACAGAGCCCCAGCACCATGCACAGAGCCCAATCTCCTCTGGGTATGTTGGAGTTGATCAGCAGAGTCCTGGAGGATTCAGTGCAGTCATCTGACAAGCCTTATGTCTTCAAAGGTGAGGACAAACAGACGCCTCCAGCATCTGTAAATCACCTGCAGGTAGGAAATCTTCAGAATTTACTCCCAATATTGCACCTGTACCTAGGGCATTTGGTGTATTTTGCTTGAATTTCCTCATACTCTAACAAATAATGTGAATGCTGTGCTCTTAAACAAAATGACTACCATTTAACTTGTTCCTCATTTCTGTAGGCTGAATATGACAAATTACTAACTAAATATGCGGAGGCAGAGAACCTTATTGATCAGATGAGACTAGGAACCAATGTAAGTTGTTCATGTTTGACTGATGGAAACCATGCAGGTGTTTGACAAATTAAAATTTGTTAAAAGTCATATTTTCAATGCAAGTTACAAATGTATTAATTTTTTTCTGCAGATTCAGCCTTCCTCAGAACCAATGCTTTATTTAGATGCGGAATATCCTGAGAATCTGATTGCTGATGATCTTCAGAGAAACTCCTTGACTTCTCACCTTCCCCTATCAGGTACATCTCTGACATCTGATATTATAACAGGATGACACAGGTTGCTGTTACAGTACCTGCAAATTACACAGTGAAGTGCAGCTGGTTTCCATATACACAAATGGGGTCAGATGACCCTGTTCTAGTTACACAAATATCTTTACAATGCTTTTGGAGCACTTCACTTAATTGGAAAATAATGACTATAAACTGGACAATCTTAACCACACTAAAATATGTGCCTTTTGATTACTACAGCAAATCAATATCACGAGTAACTGTATGCATCAGGTGCAATGTTTCATCTTCATTAATTACAAAATAACAAATTCTTTACAATGATACACAGAAAGCACAAAATATTAGGCAAGCTTACTTTGTTCATTGAGACACTGATGAGGTAAATAAAGAAAAGAAAAGAAAAGAAAAGATCATCCTTTGATTCCCCTTATCAATAACAACATGGATGTGGATGTTTCTCAAGGACTCAGTATCAAAGACTCATAGCTTGCCAGCTTACATTTGGTGTGTATCACTTCAGTCTTGCTTTGTTTTCAGAAAACCTGGATGAAAAAGGAGCAGAAAGCAACATTACAGAGGTGAACATTACTGGAGGTTTTGCCACCCAGCCCGAAGAGGTTCCCAGTGATGGGGAAAGAATGACTGCTGAGCTGAGGGACATCATCACCCAGTTCATGCACAAGGTAGGTTTGAAGGTGTGCCAGATATTACCAAGATACCATTAAATAAAATGTAACAATTTACTTCTAAATCTATTTCTTCTGCTCAGGTGAAAGAATTCAAATTCAGCGTAAGCGACATGTCAGTAAGCACAGCAGAACAGCAAATGGTAAGAACTGTTCACATCCTACATACAGCAGGATAATTTTTGATTTTTAATGTAAGGTGGTTCCTTTTTTTTACTTCTTCATGTGCATAAATATGAAATTTGTCTTTTGTCAGATGTTGAGGAGCATGGTGGAGGCTCAGGACCAGCTGGAGAGAAAATACATCAGTAAGAAGGAGGAGCACAGGGCTCTGGAGATGCAGAACTACATGGGCCTGTCCAGGAATACTGGCACCTTCGACCCAAACAGGTTAAAGAGACCGCACTATTGCACCTGTATGAATATGACAGTATCATAGTACTGTAATGCATCCATTAATGTGTGTGTGTGTGTGTGTGTGTTGACACGTGTGCAGGCTGGTGGAGGGAGACATATTCAGGATAGGGATGCACCTTGAGGACATAAAGGAGATGTTAGATAAAAATATGTGTGAGCAGATTTCTCCACCTCATTCGTCCTGAATATGACAGGATCATTGTACTATAATGCATCCATTAATGTGTGTGTGTGTGTGTGTGTGTTGACACGTGTGCAGGCTGGTGGAGGGAGACATATTCAGGATAGGGATGCACCTTGAGGACATAAAGGAGATGTTAGATAAAAATATGTGTGAGCAGATTTCTCCACCTCATTCGTCCTCCACTCCCACACCCATGACAGAGATGCTGCATGTGAGGCCCACTCCTCTCTACATGCCCACACCCTCACCTTCACCATCCATGCATGAGGTACTCACACACACGCCCACTACCTCACCAACCCTCACTTACAGTACCGTCGTAGTTTTTACCATATAATAAACTCAAGGTTTAGTAGCCACAACAGAACTTTACCAATATGATCAATTAGAACTAAAATGATAAAATCACAAGCTGACACAATGGTGATGATACGGAAATATTATAGGAATATTTTAAATTATTACAGTGGCATCGTAATGTACATACGAGAATCCAGGTGTCACTGTAATGTATTGTGCTTAACTCTATCAGAGATGTTTTAAGTGAGTGTATTACATATTTCCTTAGATTATGGACCAGCACACACTGCCATGAAACTATTGGACAGTTGTGTTTTAATAAAAGCACGTAATTGACAAAAGCACACATACAGTATAATTGATATTTCAAAAACATAAAAATGGTTAGTTTGAAGACAAGTGCTGTTATTTTATTTTTTGACTTAAAGACAATCTTCACCAATTTTCAGTGAGGTTCTAATAATTATAGAATTCTATCTAAATCATATGAATCTCACCTCCCTCCATGCTTCCTGTAGACAGAAATAAATGCCCGTTTGGTCTCTTATAAAAATTTGCCTGGTGACACTAAATGAATGACATGTTTTGCATCAAATCAAACTCCATCAGATGATGCAGAGCATGCCATTTTGAGTCACAGATTTTTGCAGGAGACCAAACAAGTGTTTCTGTGTAAGAAGCATGGACGCTCTATAATTATTAAAACCTTGTCGACAATTGACTAAGTTCATCTTTAAACAGCTGTCACAACTTTGCTGACTGTTAACTCAATTCACAATGTACAGTTATGCAAGACAAAAAAGTCAAAGGAGTTAAGAAAAACAAAATAGATAGGATCTCCTTTCAGAGCAAATCTGTTCAAAATGGGTAGATCTTCATTTTTGTATGTGTGCCATTGTGATTGCCATTTATTTTTTTGGGACTCTGAGCACACTGCATTTATCCATTTTTTGGAGAAGTGCCTCCCTAACCTCAATGGTCTCAAGTTTGTCCATTTCTACCTGGGCCCTCAACTCCATCTCCTTCTCAAGCATTGAATGAGTCACAGTTTATCATGGCAGAAACCCTTCTGCTTCTTCTCCTCCATTTCTAGCCTGGTGACAATGATCCACTAGGATCTAAAAGTCCCTCAGGCTGTCTATCTCTTTGTTCCCTTGCATCATTTTGCTCCAGGTGCAGCTGTTGGAGACCATCACTGTTTCCTTTTTCTTTGCTGTCTATCTATTGGCCATATCCTCAGTGCTCTTCAGTGTTGTGCTGAGCTTCGGCAGGGCACATCTTTGAAAACTTTAGGACCCTTTGCATGTTCTCTTCTTCTTTGCCTCTGCGTGGGCCCTTAATTCTTTCTCCTTCTGAATGATGTGGTTCAGCTCCAGAATTTTGTGGTGGAAGCTTTCTACCTGTTTTTAAGCTCAGCATTGAGTGTCTGGATTGTACTGTAACTAAGGGTTCATGTGAGTTCCCTCACACCCATCTCCTCCAGTTTCTGCATAAGTTCATCTGCAATGATGGCCTCGTCTGCTTTGGCTTCTGCCTTGGCCCTCCTGCAAAATTAATGATATTTCCATCAGCTGTAGTTTGTGTTTGGTGAACGCGGTGAACATTATACCTTGTAAAGGTCAGCATGTTAGCATTGTCGTTCTGAACTTGTTGCTTTGCTTACACTGCACTGAATGTAACATCTATACAGTATGAAGGCTCTGCTTTTAAAAGTGTAGCCACACCCTACACCTTAATTCATAACAAATCCTCTCCTGGAAGAAATGCTGAGTGTGTGGGTAAGATTACACTAACTGCAAATTATCTGACTGGGTTTCATGTTTCAGGGGTCAAGTGTAGGTTTTTCCAATGTGAGCTATCAGATGGGGAAACAAAAAGAAGAAGAGGAAGTGGAGGCAGCCAGTGAGGTTTGTGGAGATGGTGGACTGGAGCAAAGCAGTGAGGTTCTAACAGTGGACTCTTTCATGAGAAATAATGGATGTAACAGTTGCTCTTCATGGTATGTATTTAAACTCCATTAAAATTACTGTATAATGTAATAATATTTTTATTGTATGAATGCAGCATTTGGAAGCTAATGCTCAGATTTTGTTTCTTCAGAATATTCTTTTTTTTTAAATCTAATAATAGTGATTAATCAATATATTTATTTTTAATGTTGTAGATGTATAAGTAGATTAATTGAGTGAATCCTCTGCATAAAAATAACTTATTTTGCGTGTATGTTCCACTGTCACTGTTGTGGTGTCTGCATGTGTGTCTGCTCTTGCTGAAACAACAGGCATGTTCTCATCCTTCCTTTGTGGGAAGATCGTGTTTCAGATACAGTGTTGGTCTTAGGTTCCTCCATGCAGAGGGAGTGTTTGGCTCTATGTGAGCAGGTTGTCTTCTTTGTCCTGTTTCAGGAGCCCACAGGGCTCTCAAGAGGACGTGGACATCCAGACAGCTAAGGATGAGGAGGGGGATGAAGAGGAGAGGAGATCTGTCTTATCAGTGGGGAGAGATCATGGTAACATCTTAGCTTACCTGAGTGAATCCAGTACAAACTCAAGACAGAGGGACTGGACACCTGAAAGGTCAGTTTTTATGATGCTAAATATTGCATGGCTTATAAAAATAATCTGTCTTGTACTCCTGTCCTGCTGTAAGTGGCATACATTTGGATACGTATATACGTAAACAAAGCCCTTACCCAGCTCCCTTCCTCTCACCTGCACACAGTGAAAGATGTCTCACCAGTAATATTTGCCACTAACTAGCTCTTTGTATATTGTAGTTATAGTTGTGGCAGTTGTGGCACCAGTGATAGTGTCTTGAACCAAGAGGATGAATGTGAACTGGGTGATTGTGTGAGTCCAGCTGTGGAGGTCTCCTGTTCCTCTGCTGCACCCAGAGGCTCAGACACCCACTGCCTCCCAGGGTGTCCTCTCACCACCTCATCTATATCACAGGTCAGTCAGAGATAAAGGCCAAGGTGTTTGACAACTGTAGTCGCTTCCAAGTCCCACAGCTTGGGTTTATTTGAACTTTTTGTTATGCAACAGGCTTTCAGTGATGCCAGTTTACACCGATTAGCCATAACATTATGACCACTCACAGATGAGGTGAATAACACTGATTATCTTATTTTCAAAATATTCCATTTGGTTTGGATCTACTGTACATTAGTCTCTTTGAAGAAAAACATTCAGCGGCTATAGAGCTGATATCACACATAGAATGGAGAGGTTGTTGAATTTATCTAAAAAAATTCTCTCTAACTAGTTTTTCACTGAATGGTGGACACATTTGTGCTTTTCCTGACAATAGAACTATGGAAGCAAACAGATTCACAGGTGTAAGTTACAGTAGTGTGTATGATGCACAGGCAGGCTTCTGTATTTGAACTGATGTTGTGTTTTCTGGGGTGCAGCGGATTGTCAGCCCAGAAACAGACAGTGGGTTTGGGAGCTCTTATTTGAATCAATCAGCCTCTGGGTTATTTCAACCAAATCTGCTTACAGAAAGGTACAAATCTATATAAACAGTGCTCCAGTGTCACTATCTACAGTTCACATGGGTCCTGGTATAAGAATAACTGAAGGCAAATCTCTCCATCTACAGTGTCCAGTCCCATAATGATGGTTTAAGTAGCTCAGACAGTGAGGGCTCCTGCTCCAACCTGCAAACCACTGTCCGTTCAGCTTGTCTGACCACTCAGCGGTGGGCCAGCTCCCACCCATCTGTTCAGACACAGTCCTGTGGTGCAGCAGCATCAGTGGAGTGGTGGGTGGAGAGCACCACTAAGGAGCCTTCAGTCAGGCTACAGGGTGAACAAACACTTTCATAAACAAGTTATTATTTGATCTTATCTGGTAAATACTAAAATGATGAACTCTTCTTCACCACTGACCAAACAGGATCTGATTCAAGTCACCGTGCGCAGCTCCATCATTGTGTATCTGCACCTGTACTCAGCACCACCATGGATACAGAAGAGAGAGGCAGCCAACTGTACTCCTGCTCTTGTAACAGGTTGGTATGTTAATAAGCAACCAGTGGACTACTGCACTGCTGAAGACTAAAACTTTCGACTATTCTTATACACAGTGAACATTTGAATATGTGTATCCATATGTTTGTGTGTGTTTAGTGAGGCTATCCTGGCCTTGCAGTCAGAGGTGTCCAAGCTGAAGAAGGACCTGGAGGAGGGCTTAATCCAGCTGCCTCACCTAGCACAGAAGATGGACTATCTCACCTCCAAATACAGACAGGAACGTCAGGAACACCGGTCTAAAACTAGAACCAGGACACACCAAAGACCAGCCTCTACCAGGTCAGAATCTGATCCTGATGGGCAGTGAATGAATAGAAGGAGCATTAATAGGCTTTATATATATAATGTTTTTATCTGGATGATGTTTACAGTTATTATTTATTGGATAACCACAAAGCACTTCAGCAGTGTAAATCAAGTGCAAAAAAATTGAGGACAAATATGAGCTCTAAAAGTCAGCAATAAACCATCAGAATTCTATCATGTTATTACATTAAATCATTAATATGGCCATTTTTGTTACACTGTAACCTCTAGTGTGTGGAAGCCAACAAGCAGCAGATCAAATGTGAGTGATTCGATTGCTAGCCCAGCAAAAATAGAGGACTGGATTTCTTCAGATGTGGACCTCAGCAAGAGTAAAGGTACTATTAAGCAGCTAACAGTGAAGTCACTCTCAGTCTTTGTCTGAGTTTGTCTCTGCATCGCTGTGGGCAGACCTTTCTTCACAACATCCATTATAAGTTTAATTATTTGCTCCCACTGTACAGACAGTGATGACACTGCAGGTGCAGAGACCTTGCTGCAGTTCCACCATTCACCAGCAGGGAGCAGGAGAGGGAGCACTGTCCACTGTGGACCCCAGTTTCAATACAGCAATATAAAAACCAAAACCAGAGTTGTAAATATGCACAGTGTTGTATATAATTAGTGTACATACCATAGTTCTTGTCATGTCAGCAGCTGTCCTGGAGGGTTTTTACTCCAAAGAGAGGTGGTCTCTCCACTCCTCTCCATCTCTCCAGAAGCCACTCCTGCAGGTCAGCTATGGCTCCTCCAGCAGCCTTCCAGCCAGGTAAACACACGTCTAATGTGTAACACAAACATCACTCACTGAAAGCAGACAAGTATTTATCAGCAGTTCTCCCAAATAAAGTGAATGCATTTTACAGTTCTACTAAACTGGAATCATTCTTTTTCTTTAAACCAGCTATAAAGTGAGGGAGCCGCCATTGCAGTCCATTACCCACAGCAGGAAACGATCTACCCAGTCAGACACAGCGCTCCTGCCCAGCAATGTGTACTTCCAGTGGACACTGTCCCCTGACTCAGGACACTCAAAGACTGGCACCGGGACAGGCACACGCAGAGGGAGCAAGGTCAGATGTCTCCTCTTCCCACATGCATGTCTGCTGAGCAGTGTGACATCCTAGAGTTTTTTATTAATATACAAGAACATCTGTGGTGCCTCTCAGAAAACAGCCAACAATTAGTCATTGCTGTGAAAAATAATCATGTCACGCAGCTACTCTTTTGTAGGAGGATGACATGAACAGAACTCTGGACCAGGCTATTGACATGGCCCGCAGCATCAAGAGGACCACTGACCGGATGGCCAGGAGGCTGTCAGCTGACCTGGCTAAAGCTCATCTGTACAGGAAACTGCACAACACACAGCCAGTAGGGGGCAGGAAACACCATGCATTGTAACACCCAAAATAGGGGCCAGCTAATTATCAGTCACAAGTGAAGGGAATGTCTGATGTTGAGTTATTTAAGCACCTGTTTGTGCTACTGCCTTTGTACATAGTTGTATATTTATAATAAACAGAAAAAAGCCTGAAATCACTTGAATCACACTCAAAATGAAACAGGTGAATTTCTAACCTTACCTGTTTTATTGTAAGCTTTTTAAAAAAAAATTTAAACAAGATTAATATATTTGTTTGTGGAAAGTATTTTGCTTATATTTACATATGATTTTAAGTCTAAGTTACTTAATTCTTTGAAAAAAAATTGCCCAGCATCTCAATTTTATCTTTACCAGTGTGTTAAATATATCCAGAACAAATGCTTTATACCCATTAGAAAGCAGACTGACTTTCTGATGTAACATGTTTGATAGGGTGAATACTACATCAGTATAGTTTGATATAATGCTCAGACGTTTATCAGTAATGTACAGTACTTATTACTAAAAAGTGAAGGGCATTGTCACAGAAGGAATGCATTTTTTTTACAATGTTTGTGTCAGACAATGTGTCATCTAATCCTTCTGTTTTCTTATTTTATTTTACCTGATCCTCAACTATTTTCTATCTAATATCAAGCAGCCACAGGGTAAACAGATCATGTGAAATCACATTAAATCTACAGTTAGTCAGACTGGTAATATTGTGTTTCAGGAAAATCCCTTTATGTATGCCTTTTAGTTCAAATGAGTATCAACTTTTGTGCTTTTAGCCAATATGCTCATTTTACACTTCTGATGTCCCTGTTGGCTTTTGGGTGATTGCGACACAGTGTCTTCTTACTGAGTTTTTGTTTATGACCCTGTTCATGTCCGTCATAGCTTGTTGCTGCATTCAGTTTTTGTTGTGGAGTATCAAATTTCTCTGTTGCTCTAAGGAGGTATCAGGAAAGAAGATGTTTCCAGAAAACATTTCTGAACTGTCCCCTCAGATTGTTCAAAGAGCAGGTTCTCGGTGTTCACTCACCTGTAGGCATCAACACAGCAGATGAGTGCAGTTTCTCACACATTTACTGTAATCACAAGTACAGAATCACCTCCACATATGAGGCCATAAAAATAAAAACAACACCGGGTGACTGTCTGGAATTTAACATTTCAATGACTCATGACTTGTGATTAATACCAGTTTTAGTTTTAACTGATGTAGAATAATCCCACTACTGAAGAATTTAATCTCAAATTTATTTCCTTTGTAGTAAAGATGTTGAGCAGTGTCTGTGAAATGATGTTTTTGTTAGTCATTATTGTGTAACTGTAATGTGCACCAAAGAAATGTTCTTTTAGTTGTTTCTCAATGAAAGCACATACTGGAATGATGTGAAACAGAAGCCTTAATGTCCCTGAAGGGTGGGGGTGGGGGCCTACTCACATCGTAGGGACACAAGTGTGTTTGCACAGTCGCATTGACATAAATGATTACATCTTAGAGTGATGACTGGCAAGTAGTCGTTATTATATAATTGAATAACAATAATATAGCTCATCACTATTCAGTCCACTGCAGCATTTCCAAACAGTAATTCTATTGTCATTCTACCATCATTTACTCTGAGTATATGGTTTACGTACAGTATCTACCAGACCTTATCTGAGGCAAGGGTCAAAGGAGAAATGATATTGCATATTGATCACACTGTAAAGCACAAACTTGTGATTCTTTGCTTGATAGCTAAATAAAATTAACTCAACTTACAACGTTGTAAATAAGGAACCCAGCATCTTGTTTTGGCACTGCCTCAACTATTTCCTTTTTGTGGTTCTCCCCAAAGTTTCTTAAATTTCTCTCTTAAAAAGGTCTAAATGAGAGGTTTTGTTTTTCCACAATACAGGGATATCACCCTTCTATGTGAAGTTGACATATGGTGTGTGCAGCCTTTTCTTCTAAATATCTTCAGGGGAAAAGATATAGTGCTTCACATTTGTTTTACAAGAGTTTGTTCAAAGCTGGTCCTTAGGGATCTCCCCAGCCCATCTTCATTATACACACCTGATGCAAATACTGGCCTACTGGGAGTTACACAAGATATTATTCTAACCTACCAGGCAGCAGCATGGATTTTAAAAACTTTGTTACTTTACTTGAAACAATTTACTCATACAGTGCAGTAATTCTCCACAGTACAATAAAGATTCATGTAATATGTCATACTGTCTGGACTTCTTCTAGTTTTCTTTGCCAAAGGCAAGGGGTTATGTTTTTACATGCATTTGTTGGTGCTTTTTTTTTTTTTAGAGGTAGCCTGTAGAGCAATTAATTATATTTTGGTGCTGATCTGTACCATAATTTAGATGCAGGAATTTTTTAAATGATTCCTCACTGTTGTGAGTGCTGAAAAGTGCGGTTGACTGTATGTGAGCCCCCTTGTGGTGAAAGTGCACAGCTGTGCTGCTGGAGCACTTACAGTTTTCATCCTAGGACTGGTATTATGCCACTTTGATAAATGTTGACATTTTTTCAGGTGACAGTAACAACTTAGATTGAGAATACATGGTCAGTCTATCTAAGTAATGCCAGTTTGGACATTTGTTCCAACATTTTCACAGATGTGAGTACTTGTTAGCAGACCAAGTTAGCTTTATTAGCAGGCAGCTACATGTCATTCAGAGTACAGTAGTCTGTCAGCGAAGATGCTGGTGTTCAAGTTGTATATTATAGCTGTGTTTCGACTGTTGGGACCTAATGAGCAGTACACTCCATGGTTTCCTTAACCATCACCAGACATAACCTCACAGGTTGACGTGCACCATCCTGCTTTGCCTTTCCACTGTATTTTGTGCTGTCTGTCTCTGCAGGAAGGAGGGGCTGTGCATCTCTCAAACCTACTCATAGCTGAGGAGAGGATGTGAAGTATCCTTCTGTAGTGAAACAATCCATCACTAGCAGAGACTGTACAAACGGTTTATCAAACAACTGTTGAACAAGCTGAACACAAACTTGCAGAAATGTGACGTCTTCATCTCTTTGGCCATGGTCCACTCACTGAGGTCTCCATTTTACGACCAAACCAAGGAGTGGATGTCTGTTATTTTTCTTGAATAACTTTCAAATTAATACATGCCATTCTAAATGCCAGCAGAAGGTTTTCATGGTCAGGCAATCATAGTACGAGGGTCAAACTATTATGGGAATATTGCCTTTAGGTGTAATGCATTATGGGGAAACTGAGTTGCCATTAATGGAGGTCTCTACTCTGAGATATGTCGAGTTTGGTTCATTTTTCAATCTGGTGGGAAAGAGAGAAGTGGCCTCAGTTGATTCTGAAGTTGACAAATTTACTGTATTTATTTCAGAGAAAGTAAAATAACTAAAATACCATCCACTGGAAATATCTTTAATACCAAATTGATTTGCTAATAGATTTGCATTTCTTCAAGGATGGACAGATTGGGGACAAAATTGTTCATTGTTCAGATGTTTCATCTGTCACAAGATGTAGCATGAAAATGAGGAGAAATCAGATATTGTTTGGATGAAACCGTGAACAGGCCAAAAACGTCCTTCTTGACAGTCCTGCAACAGAAATAGGTCATCGCCTATATCAAGTTATGTGTGTATGTAGGTGTGATACTGTATTATTTCTTTATGGTCTCTAGTTTCTTTGGCAGATATAAACTTTTTAAGACCAAAAGACACGAAACAAATTTCACAAATATCTACTTTTTAAGGACATGGTTGCAAAAACAAAAAGTTAAATGTTTTCAACAAAAATATTCTTATCTGCATCCTTCTCTGTCCCTCATTTTGCTCCTCTTGCTCTGATAGGCCACCCAAAATCAGAGGAGGGGCTTCAACATTTGGGTTCTTTTGTAGTTGCTGAAACAATAAAGGACCTATCCTTTCATCTGTGTGAGAAAGAGGTGGGGAGAGAGAAAAAAAAGCATAATTAAAGCCTAAAGTACTTCTCTGAAGTCATTTTTAGAAACAGTATCATACATTTCACCTCCAGGCAGCGGCACAGCAGAGGAACACCGGAGGCATGGGAACAACTCAGTTAAAGATGATAAAACTTTTGCTTTTAATGGCTTTCACAGAGGTAAGAGATGATCACTTTCTCACTATAGACTCTTTTTTTTATATATATATCTATATATTACGATACAGATGCACTAAAAGAATGCTTGGCATATCATTGTAGTTGCCATGTTTTTCTATCTTTGATATTGTGCATGTTTTATATATAAGAAGAGAGTATAGCCAGAGGACATTTGAATCATATGAACACAGGCTCTTTTGAGTGTCACCGCTTTCAACAAGTGTGTGCAGCATGACGAACCTTAGCTCAATAGACAAATTCATTCTGACCTGAAAGAAATACCTGTACTGACCAGTCCAGAAATCTGTGTTGAGTGAAGGTAATGTGCAGCCTGCTGCCTCTGAGAATATGATACGGGGCATAATTTGCCCCAGGATATAATGTGAAATACCAACAGCTTGCTACTCTTGGAATAATGTCTTGAAAATACTGCATGTCCTGACATTTTCCATATAGTTTTTTCCTCTTTTCATTCATTAATTTGCCATGCTTTGTCATTTTCAGGTCTGTGCTGCTCAAAATGGTAAATGACCTTACTTTACATTTGCCTTAAGATATTTTATGATCCTAGTCTCAAGCAATGTACAGCACAAAATCCCTTAAAAACAACCTTAAAAATATAAAAATGTTCTATTTCTGTAAGACCTATAAATGTATAACAACAATATTTTCTTTCCTATCTCCTTTCAGACATCATGTTGTCAGTGTTTACGGTCACCTCTAAGAGTATGACAGTGCAGTGGAGTAGCTGGCCTGGGGCCAGCTCCTACAAGATCACAGCAACACCCAAGCAGTCATCAATGCAACCTGTCTTTGCTCAGTTCAGTGGTAGCACTGTGATAGGTTCAATCAAATCCCTGTCACCAAACACAGTCTACACCGTGCAGATAGAAGCCATGGACAATGCTCTCAATGTCCTCAGCAGTGCACAGACCGAGCATATAACAGGTCAGTAACAACAGCAAGGAAAGTAAAGGAAGAAACTGTTGAATCCGATTCATATTCTTTGTAGAGACAAAATGTGAATACTTCATATTAAAAAACTTTTACCTAAACAAAAGTAGCTATAGCTCAATGCAAAAAGTCAAAGTCTTCCATTAAAAGTGTTACTTAAGTAAATGTATTATCACCTAAATGTACAGCATGCATGAATTATGAAGTCACAGTTAGCCCTGTCGGTGTCATCATGTTTTCATATAATACTGGATTATTTTTACTGATGCATCCAAATTATGCAGCTGGTTGAGCAGGTGCTGATTTTTATTACTTTATATTCTGGAAGGTGGTTTTTGTACAGCAATACATCATTTAACTGATTAACCATTTACTGGCTCCAGCATCTTCATTATGAGGGTCTGTGGGTTTTCTCAGTTTTATAATATTTTAAACTGAATATCATTGGGTTTTGGACCACTGGTTGGACAAACCAAGACATTTGAAGGCAAGGCTATAGTGCAGTTATAGCGCGGTAATAAGTTATAGTATGTCCCCAGTGCAATACAGAAAATGCAGCACCAGAGAAACTAGTCAATCACAGGGAGAGGAAAACAGGTGGGTTTCAAGTTTGGACCTGAAAGTGGCAGAGATGGGGCACATTTAAGGTCATCAGGAGGTTGGTTCCATCTGTGTGCAACATAGCAGCACCCTTTTTGGTTCTGACCTGAGGTTCTACCAGTTGACTGCTTCCTAAAGATCTGACAGCCCTGTTGGGTTTGCATTCTTCAAGATCAGAAATGTATTTTGGCCCCGTACCACTGAGTGATTTATAAACTAGTGGTAGCTCTTTAAAATGTATTTTGTGGGCATCTGATAGCCAGTGTAAAGATTTAGCAGAACGGCTCAGATAATCACTGATCTCCTATTACAATTACTGGTGAACAGTAACTTCTGTAATAACCAACAGAAGTGATGTGATTTGTTAATCTCGATACAATCAGATGAATCTGGCAGATCCTAAGAGCACTGAACTTGACTTTGACTAGAAACCCAGCTTTGAATCACTTTCATTGATTGTTGAATGATTAGTATCATGCCTGTTGTATGCTACAAAATCTATAACACAGCACCATACATTAAATGATTTATGCCCCTCTGCCTGCATCTCTGGGAATAAGTGCTCACTTTGAAGAGCACAGTATGGAGCCTCTAAAGCAGAAAATCCTGGAGCATATAATGAAGCGATAATGAAAATGGATGATAGAAGACAAAATAGAAGACGAGTGACACAGAATTTGAAACAGAGATATAGCATAATGTGCCCAGAGGTGTTTGTGAGGCCTGGATCGGAGCCAGCATAGATTTTTCCTTGGTGTTTCATTTTCTTTTTTTTTACCCTCAGTCTAAGTAAGTGTCTAAATGTAACTGGAAAGTGAAAAAGGCAAACAAATCCTGCTGCTTTATACAGTATGAGAGGATCAAAAACCAGTCTGAATCACTAAGATGTCAGTTTTACATTAATTCACCATCTATCTACAAAATACTGCCTTCATCAAGAATGAACAGCAGAGGATGTACTTCCTGGAGCTGCTGATACAGTTCTACAGAGGAATCATCAAGTCTGTTCTCTGCACCTCCATCACTGTCTGGTTTGGCTCAGCAACCAAAGAGGACAAGTACAGACTTCAACGGACAGTCAGGACTGCAGAAAAGATCATTGGTGCCAGCCTGCCCTCCATGGAGGACCTGTACACCTCACGGGTCAAAAGGAGGGTGGAGAGGATCACTGCAGACCCCTCACACCCCGGATACAATCTGTTTGAACTCCTCCCCTCTGGACGGTGTTACCAGTCACTGTGCACCAAGACAACCAGGCACAGGGACAGTTTCTTTCTCCAGGCCGTCACTCTGATGTACACTTAACCCATGACAGTATGACTGGACAATCACCCTCAGTGCAATGCCTGTGTATATATACATTGTACAGATTATACATACTCGTACAGGTCTCTAGTACTCTGTTTTAAGTACTCTATTTTTATCCCTAATTATCTCATCTCAATGAACATTCCTTTGTTGTCTGCATTGTTTATTGTCTGTTTATACTGCTTCTTCTGCATTGTTTGCACTGGTTGTTGATGTTAATACTGCTATTTTGTTATATTACACAGCCATATGCTGGTCTACTGTTTGCACATTGAGAGCCGATGTACCTGAGTCATATTCCTCATGTGTCCAACACACCTGGCCAATAAAACTGATTCTGATTCTGATTCTGATGATTATATATAACCTTATATATTACATATAAGAAAAATAGAGAAGTAGTCGTAACAGTATTGTCATCCTAAACAAACTTACACAACTAAAAAGCATTTTATGTAGTTGTCTATCAAATTGATATTACTTGTGTTTGTTTTCCAGCTCCTGACATCCCCAGCATTGTGCAAACCTACTCCAAACACAGCGACAGCATCACTGTGGTGTTCACAGAGGTTTCTGGGGCAACCAGATACATCCTGAGGGCAGAATCAAATAATTTCTTCCTTGAGACCACGGTGCTTGGCTCCCCAGGTACTGTGGTGCAGCTCCAGCCCTACACAGACTACACGCTCAGCGTTATGTCTGTCAACTCAGGAGGAAGGAGCCAGCCATCAGAACCCGTCAGGAGCAAGACAGGTACGGGGGAAAGGTCTTATACTGTTCTAAGGTCCTAAAAACATGGCTTTACACTGTGGCTAAAGAATTCAACATTTTGACAGAAAGTTGAAAAATTGATCAAATATCACCGGGAGCAACTAGGGGTTCCATGTCCTGCTCAAGGACATTTTGAAATGTTGACTGGAACAGGCCAGGAACTGAGCTGCCAACCCTTTGGTTAGGACACAACCCGCTCTACCTCCTAAGCCACAACTGCCCCTTGGCACTGTATGAAGAGTCAAATGCGGCCTTTCTGTTATTCCTGTAGGACAATAGCCTGTCATCTCATTTCAATAGCCATAACAGTGTATTATTTCACTGCATTGTCACACAGATTCCAATCTTTGTAGCTAACACAGTGAGTGTGGAAACTGTATCCATCCATCTGTGCTATACTAATGTCATAATTTAAAAAGAGAAACCATGAGAACTAGGTTGTCTCTCTTCCTGAAGGAGAAATGATAGTAACATAATCACAGGGAAATTGTTTCCGTTTCACTCTTCTTACAAAACATGACAGGGAGAGAGTGGAAGTAAGGAGCCTGTTTATCTGTTTCAGTTTTTTTCATTACTCTCTCTTACTGTAGTGGTTACCGCGCCCATGTTGAACACCACCTCCCCGAGCAACAACTCCATCCTTGTGTTTTGGCCTCCAGTGGACAACGCTGTCCTCTACACACTCTGCATCATCCGTGAAGGCTCCAGCTCCCGCCTCAAACTGAACACCACTGACACCACAATGACCTTTGATAACCTTGAAGCAGGGGTTACCTACTGTATCAAGGGCACAGCCTGGGACTCTAGTGGTCTCACTGGCGACGACCTCACTGTCTGCCAGATCACACGTAAGCATAATAGCAATTAATTTGATGTGAAAACCCTACACTACAATCCCAAAATTAAGCTGTTGGCAACACTTTTTGGTTTTCATTTTCAGGTCCTTCAAGCCCAGATGTGGTCAACGTGCAGGTGAACACTGGTGGTCGGTCTCTTGTTGCTGTGTTCTGGATACCAGTGCAGGGAGCTGAGAACTACACTGCCTGGACCTCCAATGGTCAAAACTGTTCCTCAGCCCTTGGTTACTGTAACATCATACCTGTAGAGTGTGGCCAGAACGTCTCTGTCTTTGTCACAGCCTATAATAGCGCTGGTCCCAGCAACCCCTCACAACCAGAAGGTTACATTACATGTAGGTATATCACACACAGTTACATACAGCATTTTTGTACACATTCGGCATATCAGACACAAAATAGTCATTTTAGAAAATACAATTTACTTTCTTGCTGAGATTTACAGTAGTCAAGAATATTGATACCACTCTCATGCCTACAGTATAATTATGAAGCTATTATCTGATTAGCTTAGCACAAAGACTGGAAAGCAGGGAAACCATTAGCCTGGCTCTGACCAAAGGTTAAAAAACACCTCAAACCATCACAAATGAATATTGTATTTCTTGTTTGTTCAAATTGTACAAAAACAAAAGGTACAACCTGTAGTATGGTGAGGGGTAAAAGTGATGGAGAACTTTGTACCTTTGGACAAAACCAGTTTATCTGTTTCCTACTGTCTATAGTCTTTCCAGTTTTCCATGCTAGCAATGTTCTGATTAAAGCTTCTTAAACTGTGCAGGCATGACAGTGGTAGGCTATCAGTATTTTTATTATAATCACAGTTAGAACATGAGCAGGGTATTTCCCAAAATGTCAAACATTTCCTTTAACAAGTGATGTCCTTTTTTTTTTTTCTGAACCTCCATCACTTTTTCTCTGTCAGACCCCTGTGCTCCAGATAACACCTGGGTGGAGGAGCCCAAGGCAGGAAACTGCTTGCTGAAGTGGGATAAGGTGTTGCTGGTGGAGTTCTACATGGCTTTCATAAAGAGGGATGATGGGACTGAGAACTCATGTAACACCACTAATACCATCTGCCCATTTTCCTGCACATGCGGCTACACCTACTTCGTAACAGTCTTCCCGTACAACAGTGCTGGTGCCAGCCCTTTTTCACATGTCAGCAACTACACCACAAGTACGGCCACAACACAGAACTACCTATATATGTTCAAGTTTTTGTTGTCAAGAGGTTTTGTGTATTTTGTAGCCCATTCATTTCACATAGTGTGTGCTTTCCATTATAAGCAACATTTTTCAACTGACTTTTTTTTATTAGCAGCACACATGTTGTCAGTGATTGATCACCATCTTGTGGAAATGAAGCTGCAGACAGGAAACTTTCCAGAAATATGATCATGGTTTATTACAGTGACTGTTAAGTCAGATTGTTTTGTTCTGAAAAACATATTTCATTGTCATGAGCTAATTAGAGTCTATTTGAATAATTCTTCCTTGTTAGTGTGTTTAAGAAAACTTTCAACCAAAGCCCTTTGTCCTTTTCATATTCTGCTTGTTTTGGTTGTCTTCTGGGTCTCTTTTTCTGACATAATCTTCACTTGAAGGATTTTTGGCAGCTGACTCCAAATCTCAGACGTCTGACCTTCTCTGAGACCTTACCATGGCATTGTTATAAAAATATGCCTTTTGTCACAGTGGATTTTTTTACATGTCATGCCAGGAAAGCACAGGTGTAATTAATACTGTTAAAATGGCTGTATTCCGTTTAGGTGTCCCACTTCTCTCACAACACTATTTCCCTAGTATTAAGCACACTATCATAGCTGCTTAGGGCACATAAAACAGAGCCATCCTGTTTGTTGTTACATCTGTGCCTTACCTGAAATGACAAGCCATAACGTTCTTTTTCAAAGAAACCTTTGTGGAAAAGCAGCATGATAAACCTACTGTATAGCCTAAAGTATCTGCAAGTTGACAATCATATTGTAGTGACATAAAGCATAAACAGTGACTGGTAGAAAATAGTTCAAAAACATGGTTCTTTCTCCACATTGTTAATTACTAGTGTCACCTATTTTTTGCATTTCTCCAACCACCCCATCCCCCAGTTCCTTGTTGTCCACAGAGTATTACCATAAACCTGGTTTCTACAGACACCTTGGAGGTCATGTGGACCCCAGTCAAAGGAGCTGAGCTGTATGAGACAACAGCAGCACAGACTAATGATGTCATCCACTGTAACGACACAGCACCAGTGTGCGCGCTGTCGGATCTGAGCTGCAACACAGCTTATTCTGTGATGGTCACACCTTGCAGCGAGTTACAAGGATGCAACCGCACCTGCACAGAATTCACACAGGAGACAGGTATTGACAAGATTATGTAGATGTACATTGACATCTAGCATAAGATACAGGTAATTCTGAGATAGGCTGATCAGCCAACAAATATTAGATAAACCAGAACTCACTAAAGAAATAGTCAGACATTTTGAGAAATATACCTAAGTGTTTCTCAGAAGCATTTGGAGAGGAGATCAAGACCATTTTGATGTGTGTACGACTCTGTCAACAACAGCTTAGTACAAAGACAGGGAACAGGAGGAAACAGCTAGCCTGACTGCATTTAAAAGTAACAAACAAACAGTGTTTTCAGTGTTTATGCTATGTTAAGATAAGCTAACCTGCTGCTGGAAGTGGCTTTATAGTTACCATACAGACATGAAAATAGTATTATAATCATAATCTTATTCTGAAATGGTTTCTTTAAAATAATTTCTCACTTTGCTCTTATATGTTGTTTTATGACAGCATCCATTTTTTTTATGTCTTGCCACAGCTCCATGCACACCAGAGATCCAGAATATAATACAGACAAACAACTCCACATACACAGTCCTGATCACCACCCCCAACACACTCAACACAAATTATACCATCACTGCCACTGGGCGCTATGACACACACACTTGCCAGACAAGAAATAACTCCTGTGAGCTCACACAGCTGCCGTGTGGTTCAACCTATGAAGTTACAACAGTGGCCATCACAGCTGCAGGACAAAGTCTACCCGGATACAGTAAACCTCTGGAAACAGGTACACACAGTTTCACTGTTTATCACTAGAAGTAAATGTCGAGTCAGGTAAGGTCAGGTAAAGTATCTGAATGTGATTTTGTCACTTTTCTTTTTACTATCTAAGCTGTCACAAACAGTATACACCATTTGCCTTGTTAATGTAACAATAATGTCAAAATTACAGCAATTGGTAATAAGAATATGAACTTAAATGTGTTATTTTAAATATGTTTAGTCAAGTCAAAATGTTCTAATTATATACACATGCATTCCAGTAGTGATTATTGTTCTTTATTTTTATTTCCGAGGTCCTTGCTGTCCATTGTCTATAAATGTGAACCAGGTCACTCAGGCTATGACCAATGTGACCTGGTCACCTGGCAGTGGAGCTCGCTCCTACATCACTACTCTGATGTCCTCCCATGGCCATGCCAGATGCCACACTCTAAACACCCAGTGCCTGATGGGATGCATCACCTGCAGCACAAACTACAGCGTCTACATGGATGCTATTAGCAGCACTGGACACAAGTCAGAGTGCAATTATCGTGGATTCTCATCCAGTGAGGACTAACACATACAGTGCATGTATATTTGAAATATATTTCAAGTGGAAGGAAAAAGTATGTAAATCCCCCAAAAATCTGATGAAATTAGTCAGTTGAGCAATCAATAGGCAACCAAGCCATTAGATATAGGCCAAGACAACCATGTACTGTATGTATATATTCAGTCACAGGTGACCAAGAATGAACCGAAAAAGAAAAATTACAAATAAAATTTATATAACCACATGCAGGTAGGGGGGCTATTTTATGGTGTGAAGTGAAGGGTGGGGTGTATGGTTAGACAGTGGAATTGATAAAATAGATTTTATTAAATCATTTATACTCATCACAAGCTGCAGCACATTTTCGACTACTAAAACCCCTGCACTTTCTTGTAGGCCCCTGCTGTCCATCAGGTGTCAAGCTCTATCGCAGGGCCAACAACTCTCTCAGGGTGTACTGGCGCTCATTGGGCCCTCAGATCAACAACCACACGGTAGAGCTGTACGGGACAGCAGCCAACTACACCTGTATTGCAATTGCCGGTAGCATATACTGTGATATCCAGGAGGAAACATGTGGGGACGTCTATACAGTAGTGGCAGCACCACTGGGACAGAACGGGATGAAAATTAACTTCTGTCAGCCCAGGACATACTCAGGTAGGTCATAAAATAAACATTGACATGATAAATATGATACACATGTTCTTACAATTTGTGTATGACTGTGTTTTTGTCACTTCCTCAGTTCCCTGCCCAGGAAGTAATGCTGGTATGAGTAAGTATTCTCTAAATTGTAAGTTTTACATTTTGTTTTGCAGTAGTTAAAGGAAAAGCTTGACAATTTGGTCAGTATTCCAGTTCACTTTTGTGCCAAGAGTTATATGAGAAGATCAATCCCACTTTCAAGACTATACAGTAAAATGAAGATCCTACAGTACCAGTGGTTAGCTTAGCTTAGCTTAGCATAGAGAGCTAGCCTAGCTTGGTAACAAAATGTGCCTACCAGCTTGTTTAAACCTAACTATTACACATTATCTTGGTTGTTTAATTTGTACAAAACAAAACAGAAGTTAGGAGTTCTGTGCCAGTCTCATTCTTGACCTGTTGTTCATTTTCTAAAATCTTGTCATCTCTGTGAAGTTGGGCACATATCCTTTGTAAAATGGCAGCTTGGGTTACCTTAAGAAAGAGCCAGACTTCATGTTAAGCAAAGATAATTTTCTGCTGGCTGTAGCTTCATATTTTTTAGTGTTCAGATGTGAGAGCATTCTCTTCTCATCTAACTTTCTGCAAAAATCTGTCTAAAAAAGTAATTAAAATAAATGTCTAATCAACAACTGTCTTTAAAATCTAATTGAGTTTTGAGCTGTTTGAAAAGATTTGATGAACTCTCATTTCATCTCTTTCTTTCTAAAGCAATCTCACGTAGAAGACGAAGCGTGGATTAAATGTGGTACGTTGGTTTTTTTGTTGTTGTTTTTTTTTTTCAAAATTCAACTCCCTCCAGATAAAAACATACAGTCTTCAAACCAGATTAAATATATGTGTACAACATGCGGTGAGAATCGTGCTTTCCTGTACATAATATTGTTGATTGTGAACTTGTGTGAAAGAAACTGACAAAAACTGCTTATATGGGACATGTCCATACTACTTTACAGTTTGAAGGGTGTCCTGTGATAGCAATATAAGCATCCATAAATTAATTTTACAAACACAGCAGCACACAGGTATAACAGTAAGTGTGAATTTTTGAGAAGAGAGAGGATAATAGGCAAGCATCGGGGCCTGTCTGATATGTGTTTAACTCCGGGACATCTCAAATACATCTACCTAAAAATTATGAAAACAAAAATGAAGAAGGCAAATGAAAATTAAGATCTGCTATAAGAATGTGACATGAATCTTGTAAGATGATAGATATTATAGGCTAGCTGACTCAGTGTGACAAAGTTGTATTCTGTTGTTTGCATACAAAGTTTAATGAAGAACATGAGGTTGTTATGCACAAACTAGCAATGTGTGATAACTCAATGTGATAAGGGGTGAAAAATCAGTGGTGAAGCTTTTCTTAGATATTGTTAACAACCGGTTTTTCTACCAAGTCCAGGATGATTATTTCTCTCTCTCTCTCTCTCATCTTTCCTACCCTACAGTGACCACCCCCCTACTAAGACCAAAAACCCAGCACGGACCTTGAGGTGTTTTCACACTGATAGCAACTGTAAAGTACCCAGATGAAATATCACTCCTGTTCAGAAATATCTGTTTTGTTGTCACTGCTGTTTGCAAGTTAAACTGTAAAACAGCTGAATAAATGTTAAAACCAAAGCAAAAATTTGAAATTAAAACAAAAAACATATAAATCATTGATTCAGTGCAGTTGAAAACTACTTTCATATTGTTAATTTTTATAGTAGGCTGTATTTTGTTTTATTTTCTGCTCTCAAGTTTCTCATGTTTTATCACCACAATTGCTATTTCATAACAAAACTTAACAGAAAATGTTAATGATAATATTCACTCAAAGACAAAATAAATGTAAAATTTAATTTTTTTTTAGCACTTCCAAGTAGAAGACCTCCATATGGCTGCTGTATGACATGTCTCCTGGTTATAAAGCAGGTTGATGACCTAGAAGAAGGTCATAGTTTCGAGCAGGTATCTATCTCGCTAACCCGAAGCCATGCATGGCAAGTCATTTGGATGATGCGTCTGATCAGATTGCTGGAGATAGATTCAATGTTACCTCTGCTTTCATTGGATTTAGTTTCTTCCAGTTCACAGGCGACAACAATAAAGCACATCGTTTTACGCATTACAACACTGTGTACTGTCAATCATTTTCTTTTATGAAGCAGAGATGTTTTGTTCTGGTGTGTGGGGTTGGAGACATGAGCTATATTCAGTTCTCCAAAAATTATTCAGTAAGAAAAAGATTAGGGTCATTTGTTTTTTTTAGGTCTTACTTATGTAGCAAGCCTGTTATGGAATACCTAATGATCTAACTTTCAATGACCTTAAAAATTGTATAACTGACCCAAGCACCTCTGCCTGAGGCTACTGTACATGTAATATACATACAGGGGTGAATGATAGATCTTAATAATATGTTTGGTTGATTGACTAATGAGGGTCACTTTAAAGCAGAAGAGAAAAGCTTTACAAGCTGCTACTGATTTATGCATAACAAACACCAAAGAATGATTTGACTGATTAAGTCATTTGAATTTGTGATGATAGGCTTGATGATAGCCTTTGAGGTTCAGCTACGTATAATACATGCACATAGAAAAGAACTGAAGATCTCCAACAGTCCTTTTGTTTTATGAGGTTTACTCAGAATAAACATGTAAAGCTGAACTGTAAATATTGTAGAAAGGCATGCCATCTGGGCAGTATGGCGTTGCAATACACTCTCAGGTTGTTACCTTACATCTTCAGTCACTGATGCTGTCAAATTCAAAGGTCTTTTTTAGAATGATCATATTCAGCGTCAACACTGACAAAGCACCATATGAAAACTGACATAAACTCATGATGTTTTCTAAACACTAATAGCCTATAAATGTATACATATATTGTTTAACAATGCTGTCAATACCTTATTGCAGTAGTTGATTTAAGTTTTGTAATATATGTTATATTTGTAATAAAAAAGTAACTCCCAATCTGAAGCAGAGAATAGAGAAAAGACAGCAGTGGCAGTAGGAACAGCTTGCAGCAGCATTAACTTTCCATCTGTAAATATACCTTTCATTTCTGAGTGTGTGCATCTACAGTGGTGGGGAAGTATTTTATTTCCTGCATCACTTAGTATGAAACCTTGAATGACTTCTATAACTTCACTTTAATTTAATGATGAACTGGTTCAACATTTAGGCCTATATTAAACTACCAGAAACTATGCTGGATTATAAACGGATAACAAGGCTGTGCTTGTTGTCAGTGTTTTGAACTAAATGCTAATAACACTTTAATAACATTTTCATAATAGCAATGAAAGGTTAAGGTAACTAAATTATTACATTTCATTCTGAGGGGAACATGAATGCTTGTATCAAATTTTATGGTAACCCAATTAGTTGCTGATACATTTCAGTTATGTTTTCCTCGCATCTTACGTGGGCAGGACTAAGACACAAGGAAATGAAAAGCAAGGGTACTTG